ACACACACACACACACACGACTATATATATATATATATATATATATAGATTTTTGTGTGCGTGTGTTTGTTTCTATACGTGCATATATATATATACATATATATGTGTATACATATCTACATACACACACACTCACAGAGAGAGAGAGAGAGAGAGAGAGAGAGAGAGATATATATATATATATACACTACACACACACACACACACANACACACACACACACATATATATATAATATATATATATATATATATATATAATAATATATATATATATATATATATATACATATATACATTTACATATATATATATATATATATATGTGTATACATTTATACACAGACACACAGACACACAGACACACACACACACATATATATATATATACTTGACTATGCACTTGACACGTATTTGCTAATGTGCCGTTTTGTATCTAGTCGTATGCGAACGATTCTTTTCATTGGACGATGCGATGTCGTACACCGCAAGCCATTGTTTGAAAGCTTAAATTTGCGCAGATCTATATGTGTGCCGTATTCGAGCGTGTATGCGCTTTCGTACGTATTTGAAGATCGTCAGTATAGTCACTTTATTTGGTGCTTCTAGCCGCTCATTTTGCACACATGCTTGATTAGTACCTCGTGTAACCTAGGGTCTGCTAGCATGGCCCGATGTTCCATGTCTTCGAACTCGTGGTTCTCCACCGTTGTCTTTTCATTGTCTGTTCAGATGATAGTGGGTGGGTGTTATAAAACTGTAGGCCATTGTCTCCTGACCGTCGCTTGATAAAGGAACAGGTTTCTAAGCGAGAGATACAGTCTAGTAGATGAATTTTGGACCGTAGACATATAGGAACAAGGGGTAGGACTTACAAGTGAGGGTGCTGAATTTTATAGAACAGTAAGTAGTGGTTCTTATGAATACCCTTAAATTCGACAGTGATGACACATGTTGTACCTTTTTCTGTGTCAACTAGTATCGACAAAGGTCTATGCGACATATATGCGCGAAGCGGCACAACTCACAACTGGCACACCACAGAACAATTTGCGGAATCGCGCAGATAGTCATTCAATCCTAATTCGATGGGAACGACAGAAGTGAGCGTTACCACTGCATACGTAAATAACATTATCAATTGATGATCACGAACAAACAAAGGAGATTAATAAGTGTACACAGATGTACATGCACACAAGTTTAAAACAGTTGACGTTTCGCGGATGAGCCCATGTTAGCGGTTTGTTCTCCGACACACTTGACTAAGAGCTGCGCGAGTAGTGGTCGATGCGCTGACCAGAACCATCAACTGCCACGGGACTAATGGAGAGTATACATGTAGGTATATAAAAATGCACCCGCCACACGATAGCAAGCATAGATGATACAAAAGCGGTAGCGATCATCACCATCAAATAATAATACGGTTACAAGTGCACGAAAGGTGCACGAAATACCTCGTAGGAACAGCAGACTCGGTGAGAGCTGAAACACAAACTCAAATAGTAAGCACATGCGACAATGCGAGAAAGCACTCAGACAATATGACCCCCCCCCCCCCAGTTCAATGGATAGCTCAACGACTGGTGTGCCACACACAGCAATAATATAACCACATACGACAATGCGAGAAAGCACTCAGACATTGTGACACACCCTCCCAGTTCAAAGGATAGCTCAACGACTGGTACGTGACGGTGCCATCTCCACTGCACTTTCGTGTCCCGTCTCTCTGTTGTGTTTCCAATAGCGCGAGGGGATATAAGGGTCAGATTCAGATAGCCATACACAGCAAAACTATGTGTACAGGGCGAAGGTGGCTCGATGGAAAACTTCGTTTATATAAAACACACACATACACCTCGCATGGCTAAAGCTCGGGCGACAAATTGCAATTACATATAGCACGCACGGTACACCATGCATGAGAGCGTGTGGGGTTAGGTGTAAGCCTTGTTTGGAGACGAATTGATAAAGTCTGCACATGCAGGTAACGTGAGACATCTACGACCCTATAGAGACCACTTGTTGAATATATAAACGTGGCACTACCCTGTAGCGCTATAGAGGCGCACCCTGACTGTCTCACGTACTAAGCGTGACCAATTGTGAATAGGTGGGGTGCACAGAGATCGGTCACTCACCTGTTTCTGCACAGTGTGCTTGTTTTCATACAGAGTTCCATCCACACACTTGTGGGTGTCTGTCCTGAAGGCCTTGTCCAGCTTGTATTTCGTAAATAAACAACTGTCGAGGGTCTGCAATGAAGAACGAACGTCCAAGGACGAACAAGCGACTCACATCAGAACAATTCGGCACTCAGTAGCAATAGCGGGCGCATGTGTGGCTGATTTTAATTTACACGCAATGACAAAATAGTCGCCGTTTTAACACTGGCAGTTGCACATACTAGCACCAACTGCGTACTGTATGTGTGCAAGGTACGTTGACATACAAGCACCGTGTATATACAATATATATGTGAGTAACTATATTCG